CTTACTACTAGGAACAAGAAGCTACTAGGGGCTCCTGGCATCGCTACCAGGAGCAAGGACGCTACTAGGGGCTCCTGGCCTTACTACTAGGAACAAGAAGATACTAGGGGCTCCTGTCATCGGTACTAGGAGCAAGGACGCTACTGGTGGCTCCTGTACTACTAGGAACAAAAAGCTACTAGGGGCTCCTGGCATCGCTACTGGGAGCAAGGACGCTACTAGGGGCCCCTGGCCTTACTACTAGGAACAAGAAGCTACTAGGGGCTCCTGGCATCGCTATTAGGAGCAAGGACGCTACTAGGGGCTCCTGCCCTTACTACTAGAAACAAGAAGCTACTAGGAGCTCCTGGCATCGCTACTAGGAGCAAGGACGCTGCTAGGGGCTCCTGGCCTTCCTAGGAACAAGAAGCTACTAGGGGCTCCTGGCATCGCTACTAGGAGCAACGACGCTACTAGGGGCTCCTGGCCTTACTACTAGAAACAAGAAGCTACTGGGGGCTCCTGGCATCGCTACTAGGAGCAAGGACGCTACTAGGGGCTCCTGGCCTTCCTAGGAACAAGAAGCTACTAGTGGCTCCTGGCCTTAATACTAGGAACAAGAAGCTACTAGGGGCTCCTGGCATCGCTACTAGGAGCAAGGACGCGACTAGGGGCTCCTGGCCTTACTACTAGGAACAAGAAAATACTACGGGCTCCTGGCATCGCTATTAGGAGCAAGGACGCTACTAGGGGCTCCTGGCCTTACTACTAGAAACAAGAAGCTACTAGGAGCTCCTGGCATCGCTACTAGGAGCAAGGACGCTACTAGGGGCTCCTGGCCTTCCTAGGAACAAGAAGCTACCAGGGGCTCCTGGCATCGCTACTAGGAGCAAGGACGCTACTAGGGGAACAAGAAGCTCCTAGGGACTCCTGGCATTGCTAGTGGGAGCAAGGACGCTACTAGTGGCTCCTGGCCCTACTACTAGGAACAAGAAGCTACTAGGGGCTCCTGGCATCGCTACTAGGAGCAAGGACGCTACTAGGGGATCCTGGCCTTACTACTCGGAACAAGAAGCTACTAGGGACTCCTGGCATTGCTAGTGGGAGCAAGGACGCTACTAGTGGCTCCTGGCCTTACTACCAGGAACAATAAGAAGCTACTAGGGGCTCCTGGCATCGCTACTAGGAGCAAGGACGCTACTAGGGGCTCCTGGCCTTACTAGTAGGAGCAAAGGGCAATATTCACAGATGGTTACAGGCTGTCACAGGTGAGACTCGGTGAGAATGTTTCGCATGACTTACCCACTTAGAGTTACTCATTGGTTTGGAAGGCAGAAGAATGATTCAACCGGTGGCAATGTAGTGAAATGCCAAGTCGCATCAAATAGCATTGGCTGAATGTGATCGGAAGATTGAACAGTTCACCGAGATACCGCTTGGCTTGGAAAACGACTTGAGTTGAAGTGCTGTAGACTGTCGTGCTCTAGAGTGAAGTTGGAATGTCTTTGGTCACGTGGTCATTCATGTGTCGTTTCCTCCAAACCAACACTTAACCTGCCTGGTTTCTGGCTGGAAAAAATGCTCCAGCTCACTCCTGCTCCAGGTCTACCGCTATGGAAGCTACAACTGCTGTCGCCGGCCCAAGGGCATCTGCCGCATTCGCCCAGGCAAAGCCACCTGCTGCAGCTGACGCAACTCGGAGAGTCGGGTCGAGCGGCAACTCTCGGTCGCAACTCTAGTAGTAAGGATGCTCCTAGTAGCGATGCCAGGAGCCCCTAGTAGCATACCTAGTCCTTGCTCCTAGTAGTAAGCCCTAGTAGTTTCTTGTTACTACTAATTTCTTGTTTTTGTCGATATGATTTCTTGATTCTGGACCTAGACTCCCTAGACACTATCAACTATTTCATCTCATTTCACTTCATGTCATCCAGATCACAAAGTACTACACATCTCGTCATCCAGATCTCATCGCATTGTGTACACACAACTACGCCACCACACCACAACTCAACACAAGCCTCGCACGAAGTCATGGCACGGCAAAGCCTTCCCATTGATTCTGGTGCCCTTATTGAAGGGGGTTTGAAAATAACCTTGTGCAGAATCTTGTAATTTTCAAAATTCTGGAAAATCTGCAAAGGGTTCTGGTTTGATGGGACACCTTGACATGATGCATGCTGGCAGCAAGCTGTTCCTCAAAGAGGAAGTCCACGGCAAACAGATGCAGGACCTCATGATGCTTTGACAGGATTTTACTTTCTCCGCAAGATTTGAATGTTTGTTGGCCGCGCCGGAAGCCTAAGGTCGACTTGAGCTGAGTTTGCGTTGCAGCTTTCGAGAAAAAGTGAGATTGGAGCTTGGCAGCTGTTCGTTTTTTCCTCCACCCGAAGAACTCAACCAACACCCCTTGGACGTATGCTTGAGATCCGCTCTAGTTCCTCGGTCGCAGACGAGATCTGAGTTTGCTCAGTCTGCTCGGTCTACTCATGTAGAGGTGCCTAAGTGTCAAAATTGTTGCCAGACTATGCCAATCCCCAGCATCAAACAACGTCACTATGATCCTCGAATCTTCATCCATTCCTCATCCATCATTTGATTCACGCTGATTCCTCATGTTCAATGAATTCCCTACGCCACGATCCGCAATGTCGTCGTCCACTCTTTCAGGTTGGGCTTCCGTGGCGTGGGGCTCTCGGCCGTCACTGCAGAGGTGGGGAAGATCTTTGTGAGTGTGGCGGGCCCTGCATCACGAAACTGCGACGGGTGGGAGAAACGTCTTTGCTTCACAAAGGAGATACTAAGCCGAGCGTTGTTGCATAGGGCGAAGCCATGCGAAGCCCTTATAAACAGTCCATTGGAAGTGTTCTCACTTGCATGATGTGCAGGCATTGCAGGAGAGGAAGCAGCTGAATGCCAAGAAGATCGAACAGTTGAAGGTCCGTTGCCTTGGATGGCGGGGCTAAGCAGTGGCAGTAGCAGCTACCAGAGGTTTGGGGCGGAAGCTGTGATGATTGGAAGCACCCTTGACAACCAAGACCAGACTGTCTAACCTTGAAAAGATGCTGTTGAGGACGGCAAAAATTCTTGCCTTGGAATATCAGGCGTTTGAGAAAAAACATTGCACAGACTGGTACAACGCAATTTCACCGTCCCTTCACCGAGGCACGTCTCCGGGAACTGCGGGGAGAGGAGCGGGGAGAAGCGTCGGTGACCGTTTGTGCGCAAACTGTGGGGCCTTCCATTCCACAGAGCCTATTCATATCTATTCATTAGAGGGTTTTTGCTTGTGGAGGCCATCGCAAGTAGTTAGGAGGCCATCACTACTAGGGTGTTTCTTTTTGCTATTCAGTCCCTTTTCCCCTTGGTTTGTACATTGGTGTCACAAAAGAAGCTCAACTGGGTCTCCAGGTGATTTGTATCAAGAAAAGTTGTATATATCATCAGTGTTGATTTCGTTATTTCCACACCGCGGCCATGGCTTCAGGTCTATGCATGCGATAGACAATGCTAAGGGCGGTTCAAGTCTTCAAAGGTAATATTGAACGCTGGCAGTGCAATCATGTCTGCAGCATTCATTCTGTGCCCCAAAACGCAGAGTTCAGCTCAACAGTTGAGGTCACATTTATCATACTTCAGCGCTAGGCGCTAGGCAGTTCTGTTTCTTTTCCAAAATCCTAGAAGTTGATTGTTTTTTAGCACCGCTATCCTTGCTTGACAAGAAGCAGCTAGAGTCACGGCACCAAAAGGGAGGTGGCCCCAACACTGCACAGCGAATGTCCTGGGGTCGAGGCTCACCTTTGAATTGCCATGATAAATACGTAACTATAGACTATATAGTCCTTTATGCTGGTGGTGCACGGATTGGTTTACCAGCTTGTGTGGTTCGGCAGGAGTCCTCCGAAGAGGAGGAGGAAGAGGCCGATGTTCTTGTAATCGCTTATCCAATTATACTATAAATGAGACTTGATGAACAAGTTTGCAGTGGAAGGATATCTCAAAGACTTGAATGGAATCAGATCATTGTGGGATATGAGAATCCACCCATATTTGTAAGGTTATGGAAGCTTGGTCTCAAAGAGGAATTCCTTTGCAGGATATGACATCTTTGCCATCCGACAAAGTGGCAGACCTTAAGGACTGGTCTGGGGCGTTCTCGCTCACTTGGCCACCTTTTCTTGCGGCCATGACTCAAAAGCGCGATGTGACAAGTGGCTACTTACAAAGAGTCCATGAGATGGCATGACAGAATCTGACAGTGAGACAAATGCTCAACAACTAGTAACTAGTTACTAGTTGGTTTCCTGTCATTAATTTTGTGGATAGCGCAATAGGGGATGGCATCTTGCAGCAATCTCCTCATTACATTCAGTAAATGCTTCTTACGCCTCCCATCCGATCGTAGGCCAAGATGGCGATCATGCGTGGGGAAGAGGTGCCCGACATCCCTGTGGCAGCGGCGGTAGAGCCAGAGGAGGTCGAAGAGGTGGAGGAACGACCAGCATCGCTGGGTAGGGACAATGTGGGATGATGAATGACGTGTCATGATGCGTTTACTCGTGTGTCTCATTTTTCTTGCAGATCTATTTAGTATAGCAATCATGTGTTTGAAGACGTCTATGAATTGTGGTGAATTGAGCAAGCGAATCTCACGATATTGAAGTTGCTCGTGGACCTGGCAAAAACACACACAGACACCAGTGTCCATACCAAAAGGATCCCTAACACAGATCAACAATCTTACTCTGCAGGAGCTGGGAAGTGAGCCATGAGCCCAGTGCTCTTCATCCAGATGATTTGGTTGACAGGATTTGAAAGGTTTCTTGGTGCGAAAGATTCCAAAGATAAGAAGCTACTAGTAGCTGTTTGCTACTAGTAGCGATGCCCTTGTTACTAGTAGCTTCTTGCCGATAAGATGATAAGACCGACATTGTTGGTTTGCCTTCGCCTTCTGAGGCCTGATACTCCTTGAACGTCTCGAAGACATGAGGGACACCAGGCCTTTGGTCATCGACTCCGGAGGATGCATGTGTGGTGAAGTCAGCTTTACATAAAAATGCATTTGTGAATTCTGAGTTTAAATAGAAGAATGTGCAAGACATGAACCCTCCCATTATGTACGCCCTCAGTCTTTGAGACAATGCCTCTGCAAACATTTGTGCATGCATGCTCTTTGGTCCGTGTGGCCGAATCGCATAGAATGTAGATTGCGGGGTGGCGCGCCCAAGGCGCTCATCTCCTTTGTGCTACCGAACATCGTAGCGCAAGTTGAAATCCAACGGCATGGTGCCTTCGCGTGCCCAGTGCAAAAGAAGACATTGGTTTGATTGCTGATGGCGTCACATGAAATCACGGCTCATGCACTTGAAAGCAGTGGCGAGAAAGCCTGATGCTTTTAAGCAGTGGCGTCCATTGGACCGAAAGACTGATCCACATGACATCCACATGACATCATGACATTCTGTTTGCAAAGCGTTTGGGATCTAACATGATCATGATCTCACGCTTCTATCCCGCAGTTTTTGGGCTTAGCCTCGGCAGGTGCGGGGAGCATTTGCCTTGTTTTTTGGAGGCCACGCCGGCCAGGCCCACGGCGGACTTCGCGAGCCACGAGTGGTAGGTGACCTCCCAGTTGTGACTAGACCAGTTGAGGACCTCCAGTGACATAAACCAGGCACCAGGCGGTGACCGGTACAATGTTGATGTTTTTGACCAAAAATGTTTTTCAAGTTCTGAATGACCAGCTAAAGAGCCACGAACAGCGTCGGAGGGTCGTTCCGTGCCGCTCCGAGGCCATGCCGGAGGTGCGCCGAACCAAGGCGAAGCTGTCACGACAGCAGTGGAGAGAATTGCAGGCGAAGCTGTGACGGTGTCACCGTCCGGACACGGTGGTGTTGGTGTCACGGTGTCTTTTTTGTTTGGCTTTCCTGCTTGTATCCAATTCTTGTATCATCTTAGTATCCAATTATTTTTCGTGATAGTTGAAACCAGCAGCATGTTTTGACACGTGGTTGAATGGCTGTCCAGGTTCCTTTTTGGGGATATGTGTCAAACGAGTCAAACCGACCCGTGCAGGAGAAGCGCCAGCAGGAGCAAGTTTGGCCTTCCGCATGGTGTTTCTGGGAGATGCCTTGGTGCTTTGATGGATTTGTCAGCTGCCCGCTGCATGCTGTGAGTTTGACAGTTTGTTGGAACTGCCGTTGTGCCAAGAAAGAACGTGTCGGACTAAGACTAAGAGGACGAACAATCATGAATGACTGCGTGTCCGAAGAAACTACAAGAAAGCCCTCAAGAGTTCATATATTTTTTCGTTATTTTTCTTTTGGAAACCGGGCTTTAAACATTGACTTTTCGCATGATGAGCTAAAGCGGCGCCTTGAGTCCTTGGTGTGGCACTGAGATCCTCAACAAATACTGATGTCAATTTATGATGTCAAACGATTGCCACGTGCCATGGTGCAACTGTTAATTACTCTACCCCGTGCCAAGTGCAAGTAGACACAGGTACTTATACGTAGAAGTTGTGTGTTTGTAATTGTATCGCAGGGACACATCTGGAACTGGATATGTTATTTGCATTTATTTGCCACAGTCGACTCTTGAGAAGTCTTTGTCTCTGGCTATGAAAGTTGTTGTGAGATCTTTCGGATGGCGATCGTAAGTCTTGCAATAGCAGGGCAGCAGCAGCTTGAG